CTTTCTGGGTCATAATTTTCTTTATTTTCAGAGAAGTTGTGTGAACGTGTGTTGACTGAAATCATTGTTTTTGCCGTTTATAGATTAAAACAAAAAAAAAAAATGTTTCTAAAAAAAATTATGACAGACGCTTTACATTTAAAGCCGAGAATCTACTGTATTTATAAAAAAAACGTTCATACTAAAGGCTTGCGTCTGACGTCACAAATCACAACCAATTGAAAAAAACGCGTTGAAAATAAGTGTGCAGGGATAGATCGGTAAACTCTGCAAGAATCAAGAATCTCAATTATTCGAAGCTTAATTTAGACGCGTCGTGTGATTTCTAATTTCTAGGGTTGGCACGGGATGTGATTATTAATTATCACGACGTGTTTTACTAGTAGTATGTGACGATTCAGTATCACTCCCCTGTCGTTTCAAATATGTCGATATTCAATTATGTATTTTGATTGGTTAATTACCAGACAAAATTATTTACGATTTGATTGTCAAAAATCATTTTTGCCATTTAAATTTATGCCAAAAGCAGAACATTTTCGACAGCAATGCATACTTTGTTACAGCGATCAGCAAAACGTACTAGAGCAATGTTTCAATCAGGAACTGCAGCAAGCTCTATCTTAGAGGATGACGAAAGGTTCTGAATTCTGGTGGCTGTTAATTGACCGTCTATTTCCTCGATTGATATACTTTTGATCTTGGATTCTTACTAAGCTGTAATTTTGATTTATTAATCACACTTTCTTAGTCTACGAATAAAGTTGCGTGTGAAAATTCACGACGAATACGAGGATGCAAAAGAATTGCCAAGAGCTTTGTTAGCACTGCAGGGAGGTCAAAAACGATCTACTTCGCAAGCAGAGGCTATCAGCTCCGAGGCTGCAGCTAATGATTCCACTAATCTTTCAACGAACGGAGGTGCCGCACCAATGCAATTAGATCGTGATCAATTGCCACAAATATCTGGAGGACACGCTTATCCTTCAGCACCTGGTAAGATCTAAATAATAAAATTTGTAAATTTTTTACTTGAAATAAATAAATTTATATTTTATACTACATAGGTGTCACATTTTCTGAGGATAATGCAATGGAGCCCCATGTTTCTGAAAGTAGTATACAGAGACTAGTAGAAAATCTTCCACCGTCCCGAGCTCAGTACGTTTTGCAATGGGAGATCATGGGTTTGACCAGCGTTGTAATAACTAAAATGGCATTTTTCTGTATTCAGGCAAGAAGCTTCCAAAACTGCA